GTAAAGGATGCTTAGTGTCAGTGCGGATGGTAGGACTCCAGGATAGCAGGGGCTGGGTGGCGATGTTGAATCAACAGAGGGAGGGTGGATATATTTATAAACCGAAGTGGCAACCATTCTGCATCCACCCATGGGGTTGGTAGTGATGGCTAATAGACCATGGTATTCCTGGAGATTAAATAACTGGGCAGATACCTGGGTGTTACATGTATGGCAACCTCACCCTCAAAATCAAGAGCTAGGGAGCAGAAGCCTGATGTCAGCTGCCCCAGTGGAAAGTAGCATTTCTTCATTAACTTCCCAAATCCAGGCTACTTCACAGGCTCTGAACCTACTGATTGAAAAGGAGACCAAGTCTCCATAAGGAAGAACTCTCCTGGGCTGTCCAAAGTATATCTGATAATTATTTCCCCACAAGGTATTGGTGGCTCTCTTAGTCTGCCCAGGCTTCCATAACAAAATACCTCACACTGAGTGGCTTCAATGATAGAAATTTACTTCTCACAATTTTGGAAGCTGCTTAGTCCAAAGTCAAGTTGCTGGCTGATTCAGTTCCTGGAGAGTCTCCTTGGCTTGTAGATGGCCACTTTCTTGCAAGCTCTCTGGTGTCTCTTCTTAAAAAAATATATTTATTTTATTGTTAGAAAGAGGGAAAGGGTGGGAGAAAGAGAGGGGGAGAAACATCAACGTGTGGTTGCCTCTAGCATGCCCCCTACCAGGGACCTGGCTTGAAACCCAGGCATGTGTCCTGACTGGGAATCGAACCAGCAACCCTTTGGTTCACAGACTGGTGCTCAGTCCACTGAGCTACACCAGCCAGAGCTGGTGTCTCTTCTTAAGGGCACTGATTCCATCATGAGGGCCCCACTCCCAAGACCTCATCTAACCCTAAGTATTTCCCAAAGCCACATCTGCAAATACCATTGCATTGAGAGTTAGGGCTTCAACATGTGAATTTGAGGGGTCACAAAGGCTATGGATTCAGGGTATGTGCTGACATGGACACCAGAGGACGGGAGATGCCCAGTCAGAGTGGAGGCTCTTAAAAGCCAGGTGGTGAATGAGTTCTCGTGCAAGGAGGTCTAGTGGGTCTACAGACACACACTGTAGTTCCTAGTCCCTAAGTGCCTAACTGGGATCCAAGCACTTCGAGCTGGCAAGACCCCAGCACTTACCCCCATCTCATTAAATAAGAGCCTTTATGGTAGGAAAGGCCAAATGGAAGCTGTAACCCCCTCACATTTTTGACCAATTTCTTCATTTAGAAGTAAAACCACATCCTGGGAGATCAGCACCAACATCAACAGCTGTAGGCTTCGATGTGGGATGAAGAGCAGTAAGTACTTTCTTGTCCCGGGGCCACGTGAGTTCTCCTGCTCTCTTTCACAACATAGTATTTAGTGACTTTGATTGTCCTGCTATTCCACAGAACAGGGGTGTCAACCTCATTTTCTCCAGGTGCCACATCAGCCTCATGGTTGCCTTCAAAGGGCCAAGTGTAATTTTAGGACTGTATAAATGTAACTACTCCTTAACTAGGGGCAAGGAGCTCGGCGCTGCCACAGGGTAGAAACAGGAGCCAGGCCGGGCCGGATAAAACAAGGTGGAGGGCCGGGTTCAGCCCACAGGCCATAGAACATCATAATGGTTCTCTGTACCGAGGGCATAATGCTAGTTTGACTGAGTCCTCCAGATGCCCTAGTAAGGGACTCACATGCAAGAAGGTGGAAGATATAAAGTATGAAGACTCAGGCCCGGCTCTACTGGTGAACTTTTTTCTTACCTTTTTGTTCTGCAATGACTTAAATGTATGTAAAAGTAGCCAAACTAATAAAATGAACTCCTAGAACACAGGTGGCAAACACAAGGCCCATGGGCCAAATCCAGTCCTCCACCTTGTTTTATCCAGCCCAGCACCTTGCTTCTACCTGGCTAAGTTACATTTATACAGTCCTAAAATTACATTCAGCCCTTTGAAGGCAACCACGAGGTTGATGTGGCCACCGGTGAAAATGAGTTTGACACCCCCACCCTAGGACCACCATCATGGCCAATCTTATTTGATCTATATCCTCACTCAATTCTTCCATCTCATATTATTTTGAAGCAAGTTGGTTAAGTTTCTAGGGGTCTAGTAGTCTGGAGCCTGCAGGTCATGCCCTGTAATGTAAACAGGGGACTAGTTGTTGTCCCCTATCCCCTCCACCACTGATAAAGGGACGTAACGCTTGGTGGGAACATTACTCTGATGTGCCTATTGGGTGCCAGCAAAGCCCAGAGCAAGAGAGCTCTACAGTGAGTCCAAGTATAGTATGATGTTCCCTGCCATTTGGTCTGTATGACCCAGCAGATGGATGGTGCTAGAGGTGTTTGTGGTGATAAGGATACTGGGTAGGGTCTCTGATAAACCCTAAGAAAAGAGTTTCAGCGCAGATCTCCAGGGTTCCAGAGCAAGGTCATGCCTTCTGCAGCAGAGAGCTTTTTGCCTTTTCCAAAAAGCAGCTATGGCAATGGAACATCAAGGGTCTGTGAAACCAGAGCTGTCTAGTATGGGTTGGGTGTTGTCAGATTCCATCCAGTCATAAGATTAGGCAGGCGCATCAGCAATCCACCTTATAATAGAAATGACAGAGGCAGGATCAGGACTGAGTAGCGCACCAGGCTCACAGAAGTCAATGAACAGGATGCTCAGACTCCTCTGCCACACCCCTTAGTCATGCCAACACTTGTCCCTTAACTCAAAGCTGTGGTCTTGTGGGATGGCTTTCTGTCACCAGCTGGTGTAGGAAAAACACTCTCAGGCCTGACTCACAGACGGGTTGTTTTGATACTAGCCAAAAAATAGATTGTTACTGCAACACAGCCCTGCTTAGGGGCAGTGCTAAAGGACAATGGTCAAGGGAAATTCTCCCCATGGACCCAGCTGTAAGGGGTGCACTTGGGCATTCATGCCACAAGGATGGCAAACATGGTTTGAGGCATGGATTTACATACACTCACAGGCAATGGCAAAGTTTATTTGAATGATACTGTTTGGCTGTCACACATGGTCAACCTGGAAGTGCAGGGAAGTCGACCAGCGGAGCCAGAACTAGGAAGCATATACCTCCTCATTCTCTACGGCTCTCGTAAGGGCCCAGTGGGATCGAATGCCAGTCACCCACAGCAGCGAGGCAAGGCTAAGGCAGGTGAAATGAGGAGGGCACTCACCTCTGGTGCAAACCTGAAGGGGGCACCAAGAAATTCAATAATCAAGGTTAATAATATTTTCATATCTTTTAAAAAATCAAAGTCAATATAAAAATTCATATGACTGAAGTATAAACATTTTAAGGAAAGGTAGGGTCAGTATTGCTCATTTTTTCCTTTGGCCTCTAGCTCCGCTATGTCTCAGCCCAGCACTGATCCTGCCCATGGCCAATGGCCAGCTCACGGCATGGTATGTGTTGGCCTTGACTCCTTCCCTCTTCGCTCCCCCTGGCCCTCACCCCTTTCCCTAGGGTTACTACTCAGGATCAACTACCTCCACATAAGTTCTTGTTTCAAGTTTTGCTTTTTTAGTGGGGGAGAGAGAAGGGATGAAATCCAAGCTAAATAGCCAAGTAAGGTAGTGACCACATGATGGTAAGTACTCACTTACTGTCATTGATAGGTTCTTGGAAACTTTGACTTTAAGCAAAACCACATGTAAAGAAACCAGCTTTACCATAGGCTAATTGATATAAACAAGAGTTAACTTCCCACAACATATCTCTGGCCACAAAAAACAACACCAAACTTCTAAAAAAAAGACCCAAACACTTCTAATAGTAAACGTGGAAGTAAATGCGAGTTATACATATGCCTAAGAAAAATTAGTGAAAACAAGTAAGCGTTATTTTCCAACCCACTTCTTCCAGATCAGGGTCATGAGTGGCCAGAGACTATCCCAGAAGCTCAGGATGTGGACACCCTTCCATCACAGGGCCACGCACACATGTACACACACACATTCAGACTGGGGTGACTGAGATACGTGTATGCACTTTACATGCCCATCTTCGGGATGTGGGAGGAAGCCAGAGGACCTGGAGAAAACTCACTCAGACCTAGGCAGACGTGAAAACACCACACACACAGTGGCCTGGGCTGGGAATTGACTTTTTCCCCTCATCAACATTATAACAAAGTGGCATTGAATGAAATGTTATTTGAGGACCTAATATATATACATATACATACATACTATATATAGTATATATACCATATATGTGTGTATATATATATATATATATGAAGGATACTTTTAAAAGTAAAGGGAAGTGCTTTAATAATTGCACTGGATTAATCAGAGCTGTCCTGGCACATCAGGACGTATGGCCTGACAATGAGCTGTCTGCAATAATACTGACAGTTACACTGAGGTGCCAAGGGAGTGGGATGCCAGGCTAAGAGAAGGCTACAAAAAATGGGGCGGAAATGTCGCTGGGCCTCTTAACCAGGGCTTGGAGAAGCAAACACACTTGTACAAAATCTCCAAAAAGGTGCGCCCTTCAGACTGTCAAGTTCATGGGCGTCAGGGCGCCATGGGCACCCCCAGGCAGGCTAGCTCACACAACAGCAGAGGGGCCTTAGGCCTGGACGCTGAGCAGCTGTGTGTGGTCCTTGCTCTGGTTACCCAGCTCGATCTGGGCGCCAGACTGGATCTGCTCCTTGCTCCCTCCTTCCCAGTTCCTGGACTGGGGGCGGTCCATTCTGCCTACGGGAGGCCTTCCAGTCCCAGAAGGCTCTGGCAGCTGCCCCATAGGGATCAAAAGCAGAATCCAGGAATAGTGACAGCAACGTCTCCATTAAATGCTCTCACAGTGGGCCAGGCTCCGCATTGAATTGTCTAGAGACCCTGGGATGACCCTTGCCCCCGACCTCCCTTCGTCCCAGTCACTCTCTGACGCAGTGTGACCTTGCCCATCTCTTCCGGGCTCCAGACCTCTTTTCCCTTTTTCAAGGTGAGGCTCCGGGCTGTCCCGTAGGCGCTTCCCCGGGTGCCGCCGGCTGGTGACCAAACCCAGCTGGCACTGCTGGGGAGTGGGCGCCCTGTCAGCTGGCGCCGGACACTAGCGCGGCGCCCGTGCCAGAGGAGAGGGCGCGCTGTCCCCGCACAGGGTTCCCCGGAGCACCGGTTCCATTGACTCAAGTCCGCGTCCCGCCCGCTGGAGGCCAGCAGAGCTCCGACTCGAGATCGGAAGGGACCGCGGAGAGACCCGTGCCCCGGGGCAAGGGGCAGAGGCCGACGGTGAGGGCCGCGAGCCGACCTCTCAAAGACTTTGCTCTCCAGCCCCGGCCCCTCCCTTTCGCCCGCTCTCCCCAGTGAGGCCCGGCTCCGAGGCCTGGGTCGGGTTGCTCAGCTCCTCGGGGTCGCGGGGGACGCGGAGGGCTCTCGAGCCGAGCTTCCTCCCCCATTCGCAGGTGGCCTCGCTGTGCTCCAAGGCCCTGAAGAGTCCCCAGCGGGGTCTTGGGCGGCGGGAAGCCGGGACCCGAGGCGGAGCCCGCCCCGGAGCCCCACCCCGGCGGTCCGGGACGCCCTCCGCTGCCCGCCCCTGCCCAGCCCCAGCCGCGAAGGGGGTGTGGTCCCGAGTTTCTGCGTCGGCTTCCAGCTTCGCGTCCAGATCCCACGAACGGTCCCAAGCCCGCAGCACGTTTCCCGGGAACCCCCGCGGCTTGTCCCGGTTTCCGCAGCCGGCCTCCCCCAGAACGCTCTGACGCGCTCGGGTAACGCCCTCGGCTGCGCAAAGTGCGCCGGGGAACGCTCTTATCGTCGCCCCCTGTTGCAAGCTGCCGAGCGGCGGCGGAAAGCATGCGGGACTACGACGAGGTGACCGCCTTCCTGGGCGAGTGGGGGCCCTTCCAGCGCCTGGTCTTCTTCTTGCTCAGCGCCAGCATCATCCCCAACGGCTTCAACGGTATGTCAGTCGTGTTCCTGGCGGGGACCCCGGAGCACCGCTGCCGGGTGCCGGACAGCGCGAACCTGAGCAGCTCCTGGCGCAACCACAGTATCCCGCTGCGGCTGCTGGACGGCCGTCTGGTGCCTCACAGCTGCCGGCGCTACCGACTCGCGGCGATCGCCAACTTCTCGGCGCTGGGGCTGGAGCCGGTGCGCGATGTGGACTTGGAGCAGCTGGAGCAGGAGAGCTGCCTGGATGGCTGGGAGTTCAGCCAGGATGTCTACCTGTCCACCATCGTGACCGAGGTGGGTGTGTGAGCAGCCCTCGGTCTGTGTCAGTCCCCCTCGAGACCTCCCACTCTGGCTGGCCCGCCACTGGGTTATGCTTCTAACACAGGTGTGCAGCCCGAGAGAACAGGGTTCACATTAAGCTCATTCTTGATCTCTCTGTCTAGCATGGAGAAGATGGAGAAGGGAGTATTTTCGCCAACGGTCTTTTCCTTTCAGAGTTTCACAACAGATGAAGTTGTTTCTCAAGATGCTGTCCTAGGCAGGCCCAGCCCCAGGCTTTCCAGATGTGCAGGCTGAGTCAAGCTCTGCCACAGGCAGGAGGAGGGGTGTAGGGGACGCCGCTGAGCCCAAGTGCAGACACAAAGGGGCAGGTCTGCTGGTTCCTGGCCACAGGCTTCTGGATGCATCAGGGGCCTACTGCTCTGCCATATGCCTGTGGTGAGGCTTGGGGCCCTGTCTGGAGTCTCCAGTTTCTCTGGAAAGGAGCAAAGGTCCTGCTGATGCAAGCTCAGTGCAGGGAGTCAGAGGGGAGTAACTGTGGTCCCAAGGCACACGTGAAGAGACAGACACATGGACACCCCTGAGCACAGGGCCCGGTGATGGACAAGGGATCCAGCCTATGCCATTAGCTCCTTAGCATCCTAAGTGATTTGGTGGCAGGTTTTCCAAGTTCCAGAAATCCAGATACACACATACTTCACCCCCTTCATTTCCTGCCTTGCATCTGGTAAGAGCCAGGAGTTGCTGGGTCAGGGGCACACTGCCTTCTGAGAAGGGCATCCTCACAGACTAGTTTCCTGCTACCAATCCTGCAGGTAGGATTCCCCAGCTTCTGGCCCCTCCTCTGCTCTATGTTCCTCCCAAGAAAATTGTGAGGGTGGCCTCTGTTTATCCCCTTCCCTCAGCACAATGTGGCAATCCTCAGGCATTGGGCTGGCTTTGTTCTGAGCATCAGGCTTAGGCATCTCAAAGCTGAGGCCCATGGGGGATGCTGGCCATGTTCCAGAGAGGGCTAACATCAACCTTGGGTAGTAACAGGGTCCTGGAGCCTGAATTCAAATCCTGACTGGCTTGCTGTGTGACCTGGGGCAAAAATATTACCCTCTCTGTGGGGATAACAGGGTGAAGAAATACTCCAAGAAGGGGGAGGGGAAGGATAAAATTGGAGCTGAGACTGGAAATATGAGCAGGGCTTATCCAGGCAATGAACATGACAGATTCCAGGAATGGAATTCCTTAGACCAGGGTGGCTGGAGCTCAGAAGGTGACAGGTGAAGCCAGAAATGCCTACAGAGGGCAGTTCACAGTGGGTCTTGTAGGAATGTAGAGATGTTGACTTTTCCTGAGAATAGTAAGGGTTCTACACGAGGGGTAACACGTCCAGATTAGTGTTTTTAGAAAGAGCTCACTGTAGCTACTATGAAAAGCGAGAAGATTAGTGAGGAAGCCGTGGGAGTTGCCTGGGAAGAGACTGGTGGCCAGCCAGGAGCAGTGGCTGTGGAATTTACAGGACCTGTGCAAAGTGGGCTCAGCCTGGGGACAACCACAGCCTCCCACTGGCATTGGTGCCATGCCTCGCTTGGGCCCTGAGCTGGCCTTGCTTCTCTGGCTTTGATCCCTGAGGAGGGCCTCCTAGCACTTGCCCACCCCCTGCCCACAGCCTGGCCCAGGGCCACCTACGGCTGGGGGCCAGTTCATCCCACCTCAGTTTCTGGAAGTGTCGTCAGCGGCTAAGCTGGAGCTGGCCCCACTGGCCGCAGCCCTCCCTGACAGCTGTATCAGTCAGTCTCTTTGCCCTTCCTTGCTGGTTTTGTCCACCTCAGGTGTCAGGGGTAGGTAGCCACTGGTCCAAGTCCATAGCTGCCCTGTTGTGCCCTGCTGTGGGGATGTACTTCACCACACACACACACACACACACACACACACAGCAGGGTTTGATTTTTTCTCATGAGCCTTTCCCTTCCTTGCTTCCTTTTTGAGTGGTGGGAGCCAAATAAAAGGCAGGTGGTGTTTGGGAGCAAGATGGGAGAGGCCCCAGGGTGACTAGCGTGGGTGACTCCCCAGGGAGTTGGTGGCATAGGAGGAGCTGTGGAGCATCTGTTCTGACTCCGGCGCTAAGCACCTGGCGGACTTCAGGCTGCCACGACACTGCTCGAAGCCTCACTTTCCTCACCTGTACGAGCAGATGCAGGTGTGTGAAAAGGTGCTCAATGCCACTGTGTATTAGGGGAATACAAAGGCAAATCAAAACCACAACGAGATATCACCTCCCACCCATTAGGATGGCTAGGTGTTATTTTTAAAAACACAGAAAATAAGTGCCGGCAGAATGTGGAGCAACTGGAACCCTTCAGCACTGCTGGTGGAATGCAGACTGGTACAGGCACTGTGGAATGCAGATGGCAGTTCCTCAAAAATTAAAAATAGGGTTGCCATATGATCCAGCAATACCACTTCTTGGTATACATACAGAAAGAATTGACAGCAGGGACCTGAAGAGATATTTGTATACCCGTGGCCATTACAACATTATTCAAAATAGCCAATAAGTGGGTGTAACCCAAGTGCCCATCAGTGGACGAGTGGGTAGGTGAGAGGTGGCACACTGGCCCAGCGGATGCATCTGCCTCTGTGTGTCCAGGGTGGTTTCTTTCTGGGGGCTGGGGAAGTTTGATTCACTTGTCCTGTGCAGTAAGAATTACATTCTGTTAAACTTTATTTTGAAGTGATCTTTGGTTTAGTGGAAATAGCAGAGAATTCACATGAACCCTCCACGCAGGTTCCTGTAATGGTCACAATTGACATAACCATAATTCATTTATTCAAACCAGGAAATTAACATTGGTTACAATATCATTAACTAAATTTTGGATCTTGTTCAAATTTCAGCAGTTTTCCCACTAATGTCATTTTTCTGTATTAGGATCCAGTCCCGGGTTTTGTACCGTGTTGGGTTGTAATGGCTCTTTAGTCTCCAATCTGGGTTAGTTCCTCCGTTTTTTCTCATGTTTCATGGCCTTGACACTTTCTATGAACCTATCGGTTATTCTGAGGAGTGTCCCTCAGTTTGGATTTGTGTGGTTTGTCTCATGATAAGATTGAGTTTCTGAGTGTTTTGGTAAGAATACCGTAGAAGGGGTGTGTCCTGGTGATGCTAACTCTGGTTGTTGACGGGAGAGACCTGGTTCTTCTTGCTGACGCATGTAAAGAATTACAGATCAACAAAGCTATTAGCATGTAATCAGTTTAAGAGTGGCCCATTCCCATGGAAGAGAACAGGACTGGGTAGAGTAGGGGGTGAAAGGCAAAGTTTCAGGGCAAAGCAGGGCGACAAAAGAAGAGCAGCTGGAGACCAGGGTGGCAAGCCCCTGGGCAGCCTGAGGCCAGGTGGCCAGAGGCCCTGTGGCCCGAGAGCCAACAGCACCCAGAGCCCCTAAGAGAGAGCAAGTCCTTTGTTCTGAGGACTTATATAGTTGGTAGGATGGGAGGAAAAAAAGTTACATGTTGATTAACGGGTAAATGTGGTACCCACTCTCCTGGGGGGAATGTGACTACCCAAACTCAGGTATGTGTGGGGGTCTGTTACCCCAAATCCTTATCTTGCTCCAGAGTCCATTTGTTCATCCTGCTGTAAAACAAATATGTGACAGGAGGCAGTTAATTAAAATTGGGGCAGTTTCCAAAGTTATTTATGGACTCTTTCTGTATGCATCAGGGACTCCCTTGTAAAACAGATAGTGATCAGAGGTAGGCAATTCACCAAAGTTGTTTTATGGGCTCTTTCATTAGGCACCAACGTCTCCTGCATTCAGGCCTTGGGATGAAAGCACAGTTTCAAGGCTTTCTCTCCCAGACTGTGGAAACACTACATAGAATTTCAAGGACTTCCCTTCTTTCTTGCTAACATAGTGTTTCTTGTGATGTTGGAACACCTGGCAGTATTATCAGACCAGGCTCAGGACCTCTGAGTTAGCATGTGAGACATGTCTCCTTCCTCCTCCTTGCCTCAGTTTACTGTTTATTCTACCTAATTGGTAAAAAGCATTTCCTAGCAACCAGGGTGCTAAATGCTGGACAGTAACAGTATTGCGTCTCAGAATTCTTCCTATGCTGTCTCCTGCCTCATGGTCCCTTGGTTATGTCGGTGTCTGCTGGGTTTCTCCACTGTTCAGCTACTATTTTCCCCTTTATCATTAGTAAATATCTCAGGGAAGATACTCTGAGGCTGTACAAAGTATCTCTTGTTTCTCTGCATCTGTCACAGGACTTGAACTAAAACCGCTATTTCTGCGGCGCTTGCCTAGTGGTGATTTTTGCATCTTCCTCATCCCTTCCAATATATCAATCAGGACCTGCAAAGAAGAACTTCCCCTTCACTCCCATGTGATATTTATCTATATGGTTATTACTTTATATCAGTATAGATTCACGCATATTTATGTTGTTCTGTGAGTTATATAATACTCTCCTCATTCATTCTGTTGCCTCAGTGGTGCCTGCTTGACCCAAATTGTTCCTCACGTTCAAGATAAAGAGTGTAAAAGTCAGGCTAAGGTCCTTCACCCGTCTCTGGAGCCAGGGCTAGAGGAGGACTGTGTGTGGCCCCAGGGCGAGGCGTGCCAGTCACCGCACAAGCAGAAACAACAGGAGTGTGTGGAATCTGGCCCAGCAGACTGAGACTGAAGTTTCTTTTGGGGGAAGCAAGGGGCCCGAGTGTCTCAGATTGTCACACGTTGGAGTCCTTCTCACTGAGACCTACCGCAGCAGCGAGGGCCGTCTCCACGGGCAGCACCCTCTACAAAGCCCTTCAGTGTTATGCGCCCAGAGAGCCAAGCCCTATGTGTGAGGAAGCTCAGAGGTCTCTGGCCCGAGGCTGAAGGAGCAGGGAGGGCCCTGCTCTCCAGGACTAGATGCCTGAGAAGGGCCGCAGGCTGAGCAGTGGGGGTGAGCCTAGCTTCTGGCCAGGGTCTAATCGTGGGCCCGCCTCTGCCTCACACATACCCTCTTTTTCTGTG